TTTAATAAAACGTTAATTCTACGTTATTTTTTTGGATTTTTCATATGGAATACATTGTAAATGTGTAGTAGAAGATTAATTTATGGAAAAAGACGAATAAAGATATCTTTGGACCCAGAGTGTATACACCTGTGGTCAATATCAATGAAGCAAAAATTCTTTGACAAGCAAAAAAAAGGTAATCAGACAATATTACTGAGGGGGCACAAGCATAAAAAAAGGTATGTTTTCTATAGTATAAAAATATTGACAAAATTATTGGGGGCACCCCCTCCCCCCGGTTCCTACGATCATGAAACCACGATCATGACATCAGCGCTATGTTCTATACTTAGTTACTGAAGTCCTAGAGGAGAGCGTTTATATGTTTATAAAATTACTGGAGTACATGTGCACGCATTGCAGAAGCTAACCCTCCCTTGATTAAGCTTGCCATAGCTGGAGTACATGAACAATATAGTAGCTATCATGGTACTAATGTTGTTGATATACTTAGCAAATGCTCAGTTACCGTTAAATTGTTACATGTATATTGGTCATTTATATAGTAATCTGACTTTTCCAGAGAGAATTACAATATTGTAGCTATCTCCCCATCCTCACAATGTCATTGGTCCCGAGTCCACTGGACTCAGACCCCCTAATATTGTGAGGATTCTATCTCCCTCCTCAAAGAATAAGCTGGATTTTTTAAAATTATGCCAGCGTCGAATTCGAAAGGATCGGTCGGAGACAATAGATCTTTTTTCCAACCGTATTTGATAAAACTAGCTAGAAATGCGTTTCTTTGAATGTGTATCTGTAGACAGTCTAAATAAAGAGTCAAGGAGACGAATGGTTAAAAATTGCGTTAAAGAGGGAATTAGTACGCAAATACATTGCACCACTATATTATGAAAGAGCCATGTTATTCCCTATCCCCCCCCCCCCCATCCCCGATGAAGAGATACCAGTCTGTACACACATGTAGCTATTTTTCCCGGCATAGGAAGGTGACACAGTCACTAAATATATTAGCCATTTTTTCCGAGGGAGCAATCACATCGACAACTACATGTATAATTCTTTTAGAAAGCCCCCCCCCCCCCCCGTTGTGTAGTTCTGAGAGGGAGGATAACTATTAAATACTTACTTGCAAGCAAAAAAAAAAGGAACTACTGAAATAGTAAACTCTTTCTGCTTCAAAATTTAAGATGGAGTCCAAAAATTGGATAATCCTTTTTTTTCTGATTATTAAGGTAGTCCATCCCACAGGTTCTAAAAACCAGCAGAAACTTACCAAACTGCTTCAAAATTGTATCAACCTATATGTAATAAGTAATTTTCTGCAACAATCAATATAAGAGTTAATCATATTACTAGTATATATAGGGGGAATTATAAAAAATTTCAAATAATTCAAAAATTTCAAATAAACAAAATTTTAATGTGAATAAACCCGCGATGAACTTACCAATTAGTATACAATGTACAGATTTCATACGAGAGTCGGACAGATACATGAATACTTTTTCAAGCAATATGAGCTGCAACCTTGATGTCAGAAATTTTTGTTACAAAACTGTATTTAACTATTTCAATGACAGAAAAAAATAAAGTTTATAAACTTCTGTTGTTTATTTTTGCGGTGGAAGAACTATTCAGAAGCTTTGATGGAAGCAAAATTACTTTATTGTCGTACTGTGCAATATTAGTTTCATAATACTGTATAAAACTATAGATTTGATTGTACAGAATCCTTTATTCTGAAACAATTTGACACTTTATTTCTGTCTAATTGATCAAAAAGGTTTAAATTACATACAAATTTATTATAATAACACATTTTAACAGCAAAATAAAATTCTCAAAAATGCAGCTCATGTTGCTTTCATATAAAGTATTCCAAACTAAGAGAAGTTAGTAAAGTTCTGCGTGTTTGGTTCTCATAGCCTTTGTTAATTGTCATACTCAAAAAAAGAAAGAAAAGATCATCGTTATGTACATGTACGATCATGTAATATATAATTGAGTAGTTTTTTTTCTGCTACGGTATAAAACGCAAAATTCTACTTTCAATGTCAATTTGAAAATAATGTTCCTAATATTATTTTAGACACGTAGGAAACAATTTCAGTTAAAAAGGGAAGGGGGTACAACAGAAGTTCTTAACAAGCAAATAAAAAAAAAATAAATAATAAATAAATAGAAGACCATCAGGCATTATTATTGAAAGAGCATGAACCATAAAGTGTCGGTTTTCTATACTGTATAGTATACAAAGGAAAAATTATTTTGGGGGTTGGGGTGCATGGTGTCCTACCCCCACCCCAGTTCCTATATATATCTGCTTTATCAGTTAATGTTGTCTTAAAAGGGCCTGGACACACTTGCATTTCCCTTTAGGTTTACAATTTTATATTTCTTATTTTATTAAAAAATAACCAGTCCTGAGTTTAATGAAATGAAATTACATGAAAATTCTTAAAATTCAAAGACGAAAACATTATTCAAAAATCACGGGCACGAGCTCTGTTATTGTTAATAGTTTACGTTTTACTGGATGTGTTCAATTTGTTTTTTACTCTGCACACATCAATGCCATTAATTTACTAGTGGGTTGGGTTTGCTTTCTCGCCTTTCTGCTCCGAATTTGCTGGATTATAGTTTTAATATTGTTCCTTAATACACAACACATTTTCCACTTTTCTTAGATATTAAGGATAAAATTTACTTCCTGAAAGTGCAAGGATGTGTGTCAATCAAACGCGTCCCGAAATTCGTAGTTTCAATAATTTCCAAATAAAACAAATTTCTAAGCACGCTTTTATGATATTTTTTGTGTGATATGCTCTAGAAACAAATAAGTCATTATTTAACTTCAAATCTGTGGCCAGACCCCTTTAAATTAAATTATGAACAAACGTGTATTGTCATTTAAAGATAATTGATTTTTCTCATCAGAATTCTGAAAAAGAGGTTAAAATACGTTATTTCAAGAGGTAAAATTACATTAATTGAGTATATTAATGATGCATTCAATATCAGTTATATGTTGGGCACCGACTATGACCTGAAATACAAAATACCTGAAATATCAACGGTCTCGTTTGAAGTCATCATTTCTCAAGTTTTATGGTCGATACAATGACATTGTCAGCAAATACAGTCTAACATTAAGTCAAATGCTGACTGACGTTTTTCATACTAATTGTTAGGCCATTATTTACCCACTAAATTGTCTACGGATTTTTCCGTTTTCCCGATCATGACAAGGAGCAAACGGCGGGTGTGACGGGTTGGCAGGGGATGCTCACTCCTCCGTGGCACCTGATCCCACCTCTGAATTTTTTGGAGGTCCGTATTTGCTCTGCTCCCGATTTGTATTGTCTAAATGGACTTTGAGCTTGAATACTGTTCGTTATCTCCATGTTTCATGCAGTAAAAAGTGCATTATTAATATAATTATTATTATGTTATTGCTGTCATTTATCTATATTTAAAGACCGTCAGGATAGCTCAGTTGGTAGAGCTCTCGCTCCGTGATCGGAAGGTCGCGTGTTCGAATCATGGCCGCGACTGACCTAAGTCGATAAAAAATAGTTAGCAACTGTTTCTTCGCCAAGCGCTCGGCACTTTGAAGTAAAAGTTGCGGGTCCATCGTATGAGACCTTAAAACCGAGGCCCCGTGTCACAGTAGGCGTTTGGCACGATAAAGAACCTTCACTGCTCAATGGCCCTCAGTGTCATGTAAAGGTCTAAATTTGAAACCCTTCACCGGTATATGATGACGTCTCTATATGAGTGAAAAATTCGGGACGTAAAACAACAAACAATCAATCTATTTATCTTTAAAATTGTTTTGAAAATATACTATTTAAAGGAAAATTTTCGATCCGGTTTCGCCCTCGTCGCAAATGGGTGCATGGATTTAAAACGGGTCGAATTCAAATAAAGGCAGTATTAACTCTTTAACATAGCTATGTTTTGGCGAATTTAAAACGGAGCAGAATTGTTTGTAAGCATAAAATTAAAGGACAAAAATGAATTATTAAATATGGGGCAAAAATAACCCTGTACATTTCTTTCCTCAATAAGAACTAATTCAAAGGTCATTACTTCAGACTATATCCAAAGAACACCTACCCATAAACCAAAGTATACACATTAACTATAATGCTAACTGATAGCTTTTTTTTTTTTAAATCATATTGAGTACATACTTTTTGTACACGTTTGGAATTACATTCTGAATTTGGTATCGTGCATCTGACATGTATACCAGGCCAGTAGCAACGGTTTTAAAAGGGGGGCAACCTCCAAAAAATTCTGACAAGCAAATAAGAAAAACCCTAAACTATCCAAAAAGGGGGGGGGGGGGGCGACTTACCAAAATAATCTGACAAGCAAAAAAAAAACCTCTTTATCTGTTCATGTCCTGGATTTGCCAGTGCTCGATCTTACAGCAATAAAAAGTTGGGGGGGGGGGGCACCATCAGATAAATTTATTATAGCAAAATACTATACTCAGAAAAAAGTATTCTACAAGGCCTAGCTGTATAAGAATTAGGCAACATTATTACATGTAGCCATGTACTCATTGACAAAAAATTGCTAACTATTGAAAAATTGAAAATGCTAACTAGTGAAAGACACAAGTTATGCAAGTCAAAGTTTAAAAAAAATGGCGACAGACAGTGCAAAACAATGCACGCCACGCTTAAGGTGTTAGTCTTCACAGAGATAGAAAATCAAGTTATTATACATTTGCGTATCAATAAGGTCAGCTTAGATAAGACAAAATTATTTAGTTCGTGTTCGTGTATATTGAATGAAAAATGACTTCTCTTGTTTACACTGTGATTTTCTTTCTTATTTTTACGTCTTGTTTGCCCTGGACAAAAAGTGAAGCGACGAGGGACGAACTTTCTCTGTTGATCAAAGAGGTTCTAGTGGACTATAACCTTAAAAATGGATGCAGTTCGCTGCGTGAAGATGTCTCTTTCTTGACAAACGAAAACATGGTTCTAAGAGAAGCCCAGTCGAAGCTTGAATCTGAACTAGACGTTCTGAAATCGCAAATCAAAGACATTTTGTCCGAAAACCGAAAATTAAAAGAAAATATGAACCGGTTTGAGAAAGAAATATCCCGAATGAGAAACACGAAGCTCAAGGCTGAAGACAAGGATTTCTTTAAGAATAGCACTGGCAAATACGGTTTTAGTAAGCACCCTCAGCAGCAAAGACGCGGATCACGTAAGTATTGAGCATTATTTCCATGGTTTGTGTCTTTGAGCTGGTTCCACTTTTCATTTATTACTTCTTGGGTTCCATTGTTCCAATCGCTGCAATTGCCATACATTAAATTTGCTTGCAGAAAACAGAGAGCGTTTGCTGGGATCAACCACCGGGATACCAGTTAGTTCGCCAGTAGCATTTACAGCATGGGTATCAGCAAATGTCGTCAATCCCGGGGATGGACACACTTTCGTTTATGATCATACAGTCACCAATATTGGAAACGCTTACAATAACCATAACGGCATGTTCACTGCCACAGTCAAGGGCATTTATGCCTTTTACGCGTCTATTCTCTCAGCGGCTGGCAAGTCCGTGGAGGTAGAAATAGTTCGAAACAGCATCGTTTTCTGTAGTCTATTCAGTGGGGATATGGACTTTTGGGGCCCAGGATTCAATATGGCTATTATTGAATTAAACGTGGGAGATGCTGTTTGGGTAAGAGTCCATGGACAGTGGCACGATTCGGGCGTCGTACTTGATTCCGCCTTCACGTCGTTTTCTGGTTTCCTATTGTACGAAACTGATTAATTATATCATAGCAAGCAAAATACATTTTATTGGATTATTATTTCAGTTATCAGAGTTTGTACAATAACTATGATTTCTTTATCATTGTAACTAACACGGGATCATTTACAATAATCTTTTGCACTGTTGAGGCAAAGTCAATACTGAAAACTTAATTTGTGAATTGTCAACATTAAAAAAATCAAGGCTTTCAATCCATAATAGAAGCGTCTCAGTATTTTCGGGATATGAAAATCCGTAACAGCTCTGTTACTCAAGACGTCAATGTGGCACAGTCTTGTATGGTCTGTGACTATAGAGGTCAATGTAACATAGTTTCGGTGCTCTGTAACTATAGAGGTCAATGTAACACAGTCACGGTGCTCTGTGACTATAGAGGTCAATGTAACATAGTTTCGGTGCTCCTTGACTAAAGAGGTCAATGTAACACAGTCTTCGTGTTCTGTGACTATAGAGGTCATTGTAACATGGTTTCGGTGCTCTGTGACTATAGAGGTCAATGTAACACAGTCACGGTGCTCTGTGACTATAGAGGACAATGTAACATAGTTTCGGTGCTCCGTGACTAAAGAGGTCAATGTAACACAGTCTTTGTGTTCTGTGACTATAGAGGTCATTATAACATAGTTTTGGTGCTCTGTGACTATAGAGGTCAATGTAACACAGTCTCGGTGCTCCGTGACTTAAGAGGTCAATGTAACACAGTAATGGTGCTCTAGGACTTAAGAGGTCAATGTAACACAATTTCGGTGCTCTTTGACTAAAGAGGTCAATTTAATATAGTTTCGGTGCTCTTTGACTTTAGAGGTCAATGTAACACAGTCTCGGTGCTCCGTGACTTAAGAGGTCAATTTAACACAGTCTTGGTGTTCTAGGACTTAAGAAGTCAATGTAACCCAGTCTTGGTGCTCTGTGACTTAACAGGTCAATGTACATGTAACACAGTCTTGGTGCTTTGTGACTATAGAGATCAATGTAACACAGTCTTGGTGCTCTTTGACTTACATGTAAGAGGTCAATGTAACACAGTCTCGGTGCTCTGTGTCTATAGAGGTCAATGTAACACAGTCACGGTGCTCTGTGACCATAGAGGTCAATGTAACACAGTCACGGTGCTCTGTGACCATAGAGGTAAATGTAACACAGTCTCGGTACTCTGTGACCTAAAATTTCAATGTAACACAGTCTTGGTGCTCATACACTTAAGATGTCAATGTAACACAGTCTTGGTGCTCAATATTCCATATTGAGGGACAATGACAAGCGTATACCAGGCTCCAAAATCATAAACTGTGAACAAACTTAAGCCAAAATTTTGATTTTGATTGTCTTAGATTTTATTTAAAATATGTGCATGAAAATTTGCAGGTTTCTGTAGTATTTAAATTCAAGCATAATTATGATGAAAATTTTGCTTCATTATCAAAATTATTTCAAAAGTTATATTGATTTGTAATGTTGATTTAAGTCTGCTCTCAGTTTATGGTCTTGGGGCCTGTAGTGGAGCAACCTACATTTCTGATTTTTGAAGGCTTTGTGACTTGTGTCTATATCTGAAGTATTAATCTTAACATTACAATACTCTGAAACTTAGATACCTATACATGCACCGCTACATCACAAAATTACATAATAATGAAAAATTTAATGCATCGTTTTATTAAAAATCGAGTGCTTTTTTGCAAAGACACCCTGGATAACCCAGACAATCCCAAATAGTTCAAGTCTTCATAGACATATCGTTTTATCTTCTTTTATTTATAAACATTGAATATCAACGAAAACTAAAATATTTCAATAAATAATTCAAAAAGTACGATAAGTTAATATCACAGTTTATCAACAGTGTCTGACTCAAGTATTTGTTGTGCGTTGGAGACCCACTAATTTTTCCGTTTCGCATGCATGCCTTGAATACTGATATTTCGATTGTCGTGATCATCCAGGCTCATTTGGCTTTGGTGCATGAGATTTTGTCCATCTTTCAGAAACAAACAGCTTGCTTTAATCTTCGACTGATTCATTTGATTCGCCTGTCTCCTGCCCGTCAACTTCCACATGATCAGCTTGTTTCGCCGCATGAGCAGTGTGTGTCGCCACATGACCACCATGTGTCGGCTTAGGTGTGGGCCTTGTCGCCTGTGTTACCACTTGTAATTCGGGCGTCTGGACATGCGCTTGCTTTTCGGCGTTCGCGCAGGCGTAAAAGCATGCTCTTCGCTCCAATCCGCAGTCACGTGCGCAGCTAAGGTATCCTGTGCGAGAGGATCGGAACAGCAGACGACATGGAGCAGCACACATAACAGAGTCGTAAATACAGTCCAAACGACAGACCTGAAGTTTAGATCTTCCTTGATTGGCGTAATTTGGACGTTTTGCATAGACCACCGCCATAGAGAGGAAAAGAGCTAGGAATATTAACTTCTGCATCTGAAAAAAATCAATTAAATATTAAAACCATACTTATGAATTTATAAATTAAATATTGCATGTATGGAGAAAATCTTTCTGACGACTTTTTTTTTTTAGTCATTAAAGATCAATGGAACTTTTTATTGCTTGATTTTTTAAAAAGTATCTTTTGCTGTCAATACTGGTGAAATGTATTTGTTTTATAAATTCAATTTTTTAATTTTTATTTTTTATTCATTGTTTTTAATGCCTAATAATTATTCTTTAATGAAAGTAGGAAGCGATCTTTAAAGTCCGCGGCGATGTGTTGCAATTTGCTGCCACGATAAAAAATTGGTCTGCATAAAGAATTTAAAAATATTTCGTGTCAATCTGACAGGGCTTTGCTTGATTTTCATCATGAACCAGTACTATTTATTAAACGTGATCACTCACAGTTTCATTTGCAATATATTTTTATTTTTAGTCTTCTTTGAAAAAAATATATTTATCTCTAATTTATTAGTTTTTTCGTGTTTCGAATTTTCAAATTAATATAAAGTTGCGTGTATATATGTACAATTCCAGTTAACGCCAGTTTTTGCCGCTTCATCAATAAATTTTGCTGTTCAGAATATCCTATATAAAAACATAATTAATATCACTAATTAATACTACCTTTCCAGAAATATATCTTGGTCTCACTTAATCCAATGTGACTACCAAATATTATATTTCCCTTCACATAGGCGCTGATCACAGACTGATGAAATAACGTTAATGATGTCTTTATATACATCGATCAAAATTCTATGATTGAAACTGACTGTAAAAAAAGATTCCTCTAAAATTTGCAATTTAAATGTTGAGCGTCATTTTTAATCTATTCCAAAAACTGACACAAGGATCGATGGGTGAAAAGGAAATCTTTTGACAGACCAGTGATTCATGTGATGTTATACAAAAATAAATTCATTTTAACAGGTATACAATGTACTGGTTCATCATTTTTAAAATTTGAGTTATTAAAGGTGATGAAAAAAACAAAAGAACGTGTTTCACATTCGCTCTATATGCAAACATGAGCACTGAAAATACACTTTTCAAAATCATATCATTGTCGTCATTTTTAAACAGGTTTTTTGAAACAAAAACGTATCGGATTAATTGACAGTTTTTCATAAGATATATAAGAGATTTTGTCGCTTTTCAGACCCTTATTAGCCCCACGGGATGAAATAGACAATTGAGCTTTAGAATTTTCATTATTACCCCAGTGTAAAAATGACTTTTTTCTTCAAAAACATGGTCCCCAAAACTCACCGGTTTTAATCATCAACAGGAAAAAGTGCCAATTAATCTCATGCTATAAAAAAAAGTTTAAACCAAAAAAAAAAACAAAACAAAACAAAACAAAAAAAAGCAACGACAATTCCAAGAAATTTGTTATGCCAGCGCCTGAATCCTTGTCAATTTCGGATTAGTTTGAGTCATCTGATTGAAGATTTAAGGAATCATTATGATAATTCCTGAATTTATTAACTAGATGCAGTTGTCATCAGACAGTGTAATACACCGCACATAAAATACTTTCCTTGTACCTGGCTTAAATATTGAAAAAGTAATAAAATTTAATACTAGTGGTTATTCAATAATTTACGTAAAATGCTCGGCTGAGCATGTGGTCCATGGGACTCCTATGTTAGTATTTTATACAACATACTTATACAGTCTGAAATTAAAGAATTTTAAAGATATATCACTTGTCAGCTTTTGAGAAAATTTTAGTCAGAACTTCTGATTTCAATATTATCAATTACAACTTAGTTTTTATAACATATTTGAATTTTAACAATGCAAAATTGAATAACATTCATTAAAAAATTGCTAACAAAATCGGCTAGAAATAAGATTTTTAAGGGACTATTTTTTGCGGTGTAAGGATATTTAAATATTTTAGAAGAAAATTCTCAAAAGCTACCGATTTGTTCTCTCCAATATGTTGAAACTTTGGTTCCACAGGAAGTTTCACGTTATTATACGCTAGGAATATAAGTTGCAATTGATATGTTTAGAACAAATTTCAAAAAACATTTTTTTCAGCAAACTTTGCCTAAAATTGCAGATACTAGTACATTGAAAAGTTCAAGACAAGAAATACCTTGATTTTAGCCTGAAATTTGCATAATTTGACGCATTTCTCAAAATTTACATCTCAGACCCTAAACTTTTATTTCATATTTTGAAATTACACGATACTTCTAACCGATCTGCACTAAAAATAAAAAGCTTGATATAAGAAAATGTCATATTGAGTTGTTATAAATATCAAAACCATATTCAACATCTACAGGACATATATATACAATGTAAATATATATATATATATATATATATATATATATATATATATATATATATATATATATATATATATATATATATATATATATATATATATATATATATATATATGTATATATAAAGCACTAAAAACCAACAACACTGTATATCCTAAGTGTCGGATCTACTTAGTAGATACAAGGTCACGGATGGAAATTTATATAAAGCACTAAAAATGACCAAGGACACGAACAATAATAATTGTCAAAGTTTCGGGACGACCTGTCCCTTCCTCAGGACAAAGAAAAAAGTTAAGAAGTCATAAAAACAAAGGAAATAGAGAAACAAAAACAACTAGCACTACTACTAAACTACCAAACACTAAATATTTACAGTGTTACATGTTTAATTTAAAGTTTATAAACAGTTGTGAACAAAGAAATGCGGAGCGCTATGAATTGCGTCCGGTCTGTCGGGTGTACTCTGCTGAAGTGCAATTTACATAATTGAACGAATTAATTATCGCTAATTAATTACGACCAAGTAGTAAATCGTACATTGTCTTATTCTCTCAAAATAGCGTAACTATACATGATAAAAAGAAATTAAGGAAAAATAATATGGAAGGGCAATTTTTAAATATGAATTTGGATATATTATAAATTTGGAAATCGGATAAAAGAAATAAACAAAAATATAAGCTGTAAATACCCAACCTACCCAAATATTTACAGCTTTGAAAATTCGAAGTGAGAGTATATAATTTTATTGAAGGAAAGAGAACAGGATTAGTGTCTTTATCATATTTGGTGATAAAATGTAAGTGTTTATTGCAAGATGACAGAGTTCTTCCGCCGATTAATAGGTGCAGATGAACGTCTATTTTTACAAAATACAGATGATTAAACATTTCATTAAGAGTTACGATCGCCTTCTTAATTTAAAAACGGCAATTTCTTGCATCAGTGTGACCTACTTATTATTAAAAAATTCGTATCACAAATTGTTAACAGTCAATCACGGGAATTTCTACCCATATAACTATGACGGGGGCTGAAAGAAATAAACACAAACAGGCTTGAGTGTTAAATAAAAAAAAAATAAAGAAATTGTATGTTTTGAGTTTTTGCAGGATCTTATGAATATTAATGAGAGGTAAATCACGTGGGATCAATCTCATGAATAAACTGCACTCCATTTCTCCACATGTAATTTAAACACGGATGTTTTTTTTTTTAAAATAATAACTCTTGACATTTAATTCTTAGTTCTTGATATTGAGGACATTTTAATACATAGTGAAATTCGTCCTCTATCTCATCTGATATACACATTTCACATTTTCTATCTTTTCTTTCTATGTTACTATAACTTCCCCTCTATATCTTTAAATCATGCGCTGATAGTCTTAAACGAGTAATAGGTATTCTATACTTTGAATGTAATGGTTTTCTTAAATACGTCTGTAGTACAACATTATCCACTAAGTGTTGATATAAAAAATATTTAGGAGAATTACAAATATCTATAATTGATAAAGTATGACGTATATTAGATGACCTGTTGGTCTCATTATATCTGTGTTTAATGAATCCTTTTTTTTATTTGTTTTTCAAAAAGAAAAACATGACAGTTTTGCATTTAAAGTCGTGATTTTTCAAAGTTTATGCATCTCTTCCTTATCTCTTCCTTTCGATTTAATTAAAAAATGTCTAAAATATGAAGACATTTTCGTTAAAGAATTAATTACATGAAGCCATAAATTTCACTCACTGTTATTGTGGCTTTTTCATGTGTCAGGATCAATTAAATATTTAACATTTAGTCTCCAAGGTTGTAATTATTTATCGTCACTCGTAATATATTTTGTGGGGGTTTCCCGCAGTCAGTTTGCACGTATAACGTTTATTCTACCTGGAGACTATCTTTTGGAGAGAGAGAGGGGGTAATCTTTATAATCAGGTAGGCCCGTAGAACGCGGGGGGGGGGGGGGGGCAGTACATCGGACGAGAACATAAAAATTATCTTCATCTTACTGCCAAACATAACACATTTATGATGAGTTAATCTCTTAAATCACTTTCTTTTCCTTTTTTTATAATGATGAACGGTGATAAAATTACAAGAATGACTCTCGTTTATTTTTACATTTTTTTTTTATTAAAACAGTGTCTTTAGATGCCATTTTAAACAAATATTACGGAATGAAAAGAGGTTTTGTTTAAGCTGGAATAAATTATTTTAATTGTGCAGGCATGTGCAGTATTGTTCTTTTTTAAACACGATCAATTATACGCCTTTCTCTCTCAATAGCTCATGTCATAATTTTGAAAAGCTTTTTTTTTTCAGTAAGCTCACCTGAGCCAAAGTCTAGCTACTTTGATCGAAATTGTCTGTTTTTCTGACAGAAATTGTCAGATATAGTCTGTTTTAATGAAAATTTACCAAAAATTGTTTTTGTATAAAGGGAATATAAAAAAAACATGCTGCAGGATGGAATCCTTCAAGGGGAGATAATAAGAAAATGGTAAATTAAAGTAGATTGGAGTAAAAAAAAAAATCTTTTTATAGAGTATCAGAGGGCTAAAAACAATAAAATGGTACGTAAAAACATTAGATTTAAATTTTTTCTGGGCTACAATACAATTTTAGTCATGAAA